TCCTCCTCCTTCTTCCTCTTCTACTTCCTCTTCTTCTTCCTCTTCTTCTTCCTCTTCCTCTTCTTCCTCTTCTTCCTCTTCCTCTTCCTCTTCTTCCTCTTCCTCTTCTTCCTCTTCCTCCTCTTCCTTCTTCCTCTTCTTCCTCTTCTTCTTCTTTGTTCTTCTTCGTTCTTCTTCCTCCTCTTCCTCCTTCTTCCTCTTCTTCCTTTTTTTACTCCTCTTCTTCCTCTTCTTCCTCCTCTTCCTCTTCCTCCTCTTCATCTTCCTCCTCTTCCTCCTCCTCCTCGTCCTCCTTTACTGGGCTTTGTTAGAAAACCACAGTCTGCTGGATAAGCTGCTGAGCTTCAGCAAGGGGTTTATATCATATACCCTTAGACTATGCCCTGGGGCCTGGTAGGGTCACCAGTTCTGTGTTGGGAAGTTCCTGGATATTTGGGAGTGGAGGCTAGGGAGGGTGGGGTTTGGGGAGGGGAGGGAAGGGGAGGGGCCTCAGCAGGGTCGGGGTATAAGGCCATAGGGCCCACCCTCCAAAGGAATCCGTTTTCTCAAGAGGAACTGAGCTGTGCTGTCTGGAGATCAGTTGTGATTCTGTCAGGCTGGAGACCCAGCCCTCTGAGGAAAGGCTGAGGGACCTGGGAATGTTTAGTCTGGAGAAGAGGAGGTGGAGGGGGGGGGACGGGATTGCTCTCCCAAAGTATTTGAAGGGCTGTCACTTTGGCCACCAAATGAGAAGGGAGCACTCCCTGGAGAAGACCTTGATGCTGGGAAAAACCGAAGGTCAAAGAAGAAGGGGACGGCAGAGGATGAGATGGTTAGACCGTGTTATCGATGGAACTAACATGAAATTAAGCAAACTCCGGAGCGTGACAGAAGACAGGAGGGCCTGGTGTGATGTGGTTCGTGGGGTCGCGAAGAGTCGGACTCGACTGTGCGACTGAACAACAACAACACTTCGAGGAGGGCAGGGAGCTGTTCCTGTGGGCAGCAGACGAGAGGACTCGCAATCATGGGTTTAAAGCAAGGGCGGGAAGGTACTGACTGGATATGAGGAAAAACGTTTTGACAGTCAGAGTTGTGCAACAGTGGAATCGGCTGCCTCGAGAGGTGGTGAGCCCCCCCTCACTGGCCATCTTGAAGCAGCAGCTGGACCAACACTTGACAGGGATGGTCTACGCTGATCCTGCATTGAGCAGGGGGTCGGACTAGATGGCCTATATGGCCCCTTCCAACTCTGGGATTCTATGGTCCAGGGTCGGCCCCAGTGTTCCCTCGAAGCTGTGCATGTGAGTGACTGCTGATTAACACAGGGAGCAGGGGGCTGGATTAGATGGCCTGTATGGCCCCTTCCAACTCTGGGATGCTATGATTCTGAGAGGCAGGGGTCATTTCCTGCAGGAGGGCACAGAAGCGGAGCTCCGGCAGTAAAGAACCCAGGGGGCGGGCACATGCAACAAGCCCCGCCCCCCGCTCCCAGCAGCCCTCAGTCAGAGCAAGAAGCAGCCAGGTAAGTTCCCCCCCCCCCGGTCCCCCAGTCCAAAACAGTCCAGTTCCCCCACGGCCCCCTGGTCCAAAACAGTCCAGTGGCACCTTTAAGACCAAGTTTCATTCAGGTACAAGCTCTCCCTCCTCTGCGAGGACAGATCTGCACATTCCCCCCTCTCTCACTAGCTTGCAATCCAAAACATTCCAGTGGAGCCTGAGCGGTGGGTGTTGCCTTCTGACACACTTCCGGTGATGTCAGGGGGTGTGGCATATGCAAATAAGTTATGCTAATGAGTTGTGCTAATGAGCTCCCGCACCTCTTTTTCTACGAAATGACCCCTGCAGAGGTCTCCAGGCCCCACTCGCAGCCCCTGGGTAGGTCCCCTAATCCCAGACTGGAGGGAGGTTAGCTCAGGTCTGGTCTGTTGCCAAACCATTTCTGATCGTAAAATGGATCCCTGGTCAGACGCCCAAAGAGCCGAACCACCAGCCTCGTGTTTTTGCAATTCATCATTCATTCATTCATTCAATTCTGCTACTGATCTAGGCCGGTGTGTTGGGTGGGGATGGGAGCATGGGAGGGCACGTGGACCCAGAGGAAAGACAGTGTGATTCTGGACCCTTCTTCATTCATTCATTCATTCATTCATTCATTCATTCATTCAATTCTGCTAGGCCGGTGTGTTGGGTGAGTCGTGTTGGGTGAGTCGTGGTCAGACGCCCAAAGAGCCGAACCACCAGCCTCGTGTTTTTGCAATTCATCATAAGCCAGACCAGAGACGTCTTGTTTGTTTCCACCAGCCCAGAAGTGCAGCTCTGAATTATGTACACAACCGCAGCTGGTCTTCGGCCAGCACTTACACGTCTCTGAACACTTCACTGCTGAGGCAGCCGGCCCTGCGGTTCAAGCTGAATTCTTCCCCTCCCCCCCAACTGAGAAATCTACAGATGATGAAATTGCTCTGAGCTGGGTTTGGGGCTGGGGCACAGCAGCGATCTGAAAGCCTAGCTGTTGTGGAAGGATGAGGAGCCCGTGAGTCGTGGAAAAGAGCAAGAGTCCCGCAGCTCCTAAAAGACTAACCAAATTTGTGGCAGGGGAGGAGCTCTCCTGAGTCACGGCTCCCTTCGTCAGAGCCCGGGAGGAGTGCAGAGAAGGCTGCCCAAAAGAGCAAGAGCGTCGCTGGTCTGATAGCATCTCTTGTGGAATTTTGGATGAAATATGGAAATCCCGGCTCCTCCTGAGCTCTAGAGAAGCGATATTCTGCTACTGATCTAGGCCGGTGTGTTGGGTGGGGATGGGAGCATGGGAGGGCACGTGGACCCAGAGGAAAGACAGTGTGATTCTGGACCCTTCTTTATTCATTCATTCATTCATTCTTTCATTCATTCATTCAATTGATTTGTACCCCGCCCTCCCCGCCGAGGCGGGCTCAGGGGGGCGGCTTACATAAAATGACAACAAATCAAAACGGCAAGGTAAATAGCAATATAAAACACGCAACATGGTTATTAAAAACAATTTACATGACGATGGTACAGTAATGGTGAAGTCCATTGATGAACGCACAGTCGGAGATAAATTCCACTACCAGCGGGCTCAAGCTGGGAAAAATATTGGCACAGGGCACAGATGGTGAATGCAGCTCATTACCTAAATGCCTGATGGAAGTGCTCCGTTTTCATGGCCCTGCGGAACTGTGAAAGGTCCTGCAGGGCCCTGATTCACTTCCGGAAGCTCATTCCACCAAGTTGGGGCTGCCACAGCAACCATGGTGTTCTTCTGAAGAAGGGAGCCATGACTCACGAGAACTCCTCCCCTGCCACAGATTTGGTTAGTCTTTAAGGTGCTGCTGGACTCTTGCTCTTTTCTACAGACTAACACAGCGACCCATCTTGGATTTTCGTATTATCAATGCACACCATGAAGGTCAACTAGTGCTGCGACGCGATGGGAGAACCTCTGCTTGGCAAGCAGAAATTCCCAAATTCAATCTCTGGCATCTCCCGTTTAAAAGGAACAGGCAGCCTCGACCTGGATTGCCCAGGCAAGACCGATCTCGTGAGATCTCGAAAGCTAAGCTGGGCCGGCCCTGGCAAGTATTTGGATGGGAGACCAGGTTGTCTGGCAGCCAGAAGTTCTAGCTCTTTAGTATTATGCACCACTAGGTGGCGAGCTAGTCTTTTTTTTAAGGCGAGAGACGTTCAGAGGTGGTTTGCCATTGCCTGCCTCTGCGTCAGGACCCTGGTATTCCTTGGAGGTCGCCCTTCCAAATACTAGCCAAGGCTTACCCCGCTTAGCTTCCAAGATCTGATGGGATCAGGCTAGCCTGGGCTGTCCAGGTCAGGGCTAGAGGCACAGGTGAAGAGAATGAATGTCGGCAGGGAGGGGCATCCCTTTTCGGTGCAGAAGGTCCCCGTTTCAGTCCCTGGAATCTCCAGTTAAAAGAACCAGGTATAGGTGACAGTAAATGCCTCAGTCTGAGGCCCTGGAGAGCCTCTGCCAATCAGTGTAGACAATACTGACCTTGATAAGACTAGTGGTGTGTCTCAGAGCACGTATGTCTTCAGTCCTTGACGTCTTCACTGAAAATAGGTCTGCAGGCGGGGCCTGAAAAATCTCTTGAAATTACAGTCTCCAGACAGCAGAGATCAGTTGCCCTGGAGAAAATGGTTCCTTTGGAGAGCGGAATCTGGGGCATTATACCCTGCTGAGGTCTCTGACCTCCCCAGATTCCCGCCCTCCCCAGGTTCCACTCCCAAATCTCCAGGAATTTCCCAACATGGAGTAAGTGATCCTAACTGAAAAGGATCAGGTGGCAGGTGACAAGAAAGACCTCTACTTGAGACCCCGGAGAGCTGCTGCCGGTCAGAGTAGACAATACTGTCTTGGATAGAATAATGGTCAAACCAGGGCTATTTTTGGGCAGGAACGCAGAGGAACGGCGTTCCGGCTGGCTCCCAAGTTGGCCACGCCCAGCAGGAACTCATTAGCATAATAGGCCACACCCAACAGCAGAAACTCATTAGGATTGGCTACATTAGGGGTGTGTGGCCTAACATGCAAAGGAGTTCCTGCTACAAAAAAAGGCCCTGGGTTTTGACAACAAACAAGGTCAACAGAATAAGAAGCAAAAGGTGGGTGTGGCTGGATAATCACACTTCTGGTAACATGTGGGTGTGGCCTAATGTGCTAATGAGCTGTGCTGTCAGGGGTGTGGCCCAATATGCTAATGAGTTTCTGGTGTTGGGTGTGGCCTATTATGGTAATGAGCTCCTGCTGGGCTTTTTCTACAAAAAGAGCCCTGGGTCAAACTAAGGATAAGACAGCTTCACGTGACCCGATTTTTATTTCATTTTATTTAAAAAGTGCTCAGCACAACGTTTCGTCAAACGGAAGTTCCTCAGCGAAGTGTGGCTTGCGAGATTCGGCAATCCGTCGCGCCTCTCGTGGCATCAGAACTGTGTGAAAATCTGTTCACTCAATGTGCTAACGCGAGAGCCCTTCTCATCATCCGCAGGCACGAAGCCAGGTTTAAACAACGCATGCTGGAACTGACGGACACCAACAACATTGCGTACTTATTTCTGTCGGCTGCCAACAGATGGCTGGAGGTCAGAACGGTACGTGCGACATTGTCTTTACCGCGTTCGTGAAACACGTCCACCAAATGGTTACTCTGCTCGATGCGGAAGGATCGTAGCCAGGACACATCTGGGAAACCCGACAAGTTCATGTGCAACAGTCCTCAAAATAGCTCGGTCTTGAGTTTGTTATGAATTCCTTGGCGAAGGCCAAGAACGTCTTCATTTTGCCGCTGCTGTGTTGACTATCCTTTGGAAGAGATTATAAAAGCAAAAACCACAGACAGTGTGGGGCGGGGAGGTCTGTGGCAAATGGAGTCATAGCGTAAAAGCCAGAGTGGTTAGGATGTCAGACAAGCCATCGGGAGACCCTGGTTCAAATTCCCCACTGTGCCGTGAGGCTCACCGGATGACTTGGGCCAGTCCCTCAGCCCAACGTCCCTCACAGAATTAGTGTCGCGAGGACAAGAAGGCAAAACCATGTACACCACCTTGAGGACCACAGAAGAAGGGCAAGATAAAAATGTGATAAACAGAAAACCCAGACCATGAGGGGAGGGCCTGTAATCCAGTCAGCCAGGCATTCACACTCTCCCTCCACTCCACATCATTTTGTGCTAATCTGAGAGACTTCCGATTCGGGATCTTCCCAGCACCAGCAAATCGAGAGCTACCACCAAAGGCAAAGTTGAACTTCCCTGTTTGAGTAAACATTTTGAGGAATTTGGGGAGAGGGGATATAAAAGAGTTTCAGTAAGGCTGGCGAAAATTTCTCTGGGGGGGGGGTCCCTCTCCATGTCCTGCAGTTCTCGGTGCACACCTGTCCTGGCCCCACTGGTGGACCTCCTGATGGCACTGGTATTTCTGGACACTGTGTGATACAGAGTGTTGGACTGGATGGGCCTTTGGCCTGATCCAACATTGGCGTCTCTTACTTTCTTATGTTCTTATGTTCTCTTATGTGCACGCCACAATGAGATCATACATAAGTGACGTCATCACACAGGGGACGTTGTGGGGGGATGTTCTAGCATTTGAGGAAAACCTCTATGTAACCATAGAGTTTTTTTCTGGAACGCTAGAGCATCCCCCCGCAACATGCCCTGCACGATGACGTCACCTCTGGGTGACATCATTGCACCGAGCATGTTGGCATGGACGGGGCTCTTTGGGGGTGGGCAGTGACGGATTGGGCCCCCCGAAAACGGGTAGACCCCTGCCCCCATTGGGGGAATGGCAACCCTAGTTCTTGCTTCCTCTCCCCTACAGCTCTTCAAAAACAGCACTCCAAGCCACAAATTTCTTACAGGGCTTCCAATCTCTTGTAAGATCTCTTCTTCTCATGAGAGTATGGCCGTCATTTGGGATAACCCTGGCAATCCTGCCGATGACGGTGGTTGCTTCGGCCACCATTTTGGTGGCTGAAGACTCCCAAGAGGAAGGGATCTTGTGAGAGTTTGGGAAGAAGCTCCTTAAGGCGGGCATAGCTTGTGTCTGAAGAGGTCTGAGACAAGAGGAAGCAAGGAAGATGGTCAGTCTAGTTTAAGCCTTAAGGTACAGGTAAAGCTTCCCTTGATCGAAAGCCAGTCGTTTGCTCAGCCGTTTCACTTGTTGATGAAAGGACTCCCGCATCCATGTGTGGGCACAAACATCCCGAATTCGCTTCAAAATTTCCTTTAGGTGAGGTTTCGTAGGCAGATCTCACCCTGCTTCAGATTCTAAGGCCCAGGGCTATTTTTGGGCAGGAACGCACAGGAACGGAGTTCTGGCTGGCTCCTGAGTTGGCCACACCCAGCAGGAACCCATTAGCATAATAGGCTTTGCTCAGCCGTTTCACTTGTTGATGAAAGGACTCCCGCATCCACGTGTGGGCACAAACATCCCGAATCCGCTTCAGAGTTTCCTTTGGGAGAGGTTTTGCAGGCAGATCTCGCCCTGCTTCAGATTCTAAGGCCGCTTGGAATAAGTTCAGCAACGGAGGATTCCCATCAACTTTTCGTTGCTAGGATCCGCTGTTGTCAAACTCGTAGGCTCAAGACCTATCGACTCACAACGTTCGCCAAAATTTCTTCGCGTTTAGCTTTCCAAAATAAAGTTATAACTGGTGCCATTACAAGGGCTGGACTCCAACGCTGCTTGGAATAAGTTCAGCAACGGAGGATCCCATCAACTTTTCGTTGCTAGGATCCTCTGTTGTCAAACTCATAGGCTCAAGACCTATCAATTCACAACGTTCGCCAAAATTTCTTCGCGTTTAGCTTTCCAAAATAAAGTTATAACTGGTGCCATTACAAGGGCTGGACTCCAACATGTTTTGTCTTCGAGCTCTCTTGGAATTTGCGGAACGGTAACGTAAGCGGATAACATGCTGGCGAGTTAGACCACGTAGCCTCTGCTCCCTCGTTCCTGCTTCCCAGCCGTTGGAAAACACTGGGTGCCTTTATTTGATCGATGAGAGGTCAAATTCTGAGCCACTAAGGGACTATCCATAACCAAAAGTCCTGTCCTTGAAGGCCAGTTCACATGGCGTTCATCCTGATTATGGGATTACATTTTCAAGCAGTTCCTAAATGTGGACCTTCTTAAGGTATAATGTCAAAATATGCAATACATGGCTCTTGCTTCCATATACAACTATAACTCTCCACTCTCTAGGCCAGGGGTCCCCAACGTGGTGAGCCAGTTTGGTGTAGTGGTTAGGAGCACAGACTCTAATCTGGGAGAACCAGGTCTGATTCCCCACTCCTCCACATGCAGCTGCTGGTGTGACCTTGGGTCAGTCACAAGCGGCGTTCCCTCTAAGCTGCGTGAGTGTGAGCTAGCTCACAGTTTTTTATCCTCTGGCTCACACATTTTTGTCTTCGCTCAGGAAAGATGGCTCCAGAGCAAATTAATTGATGCAGTAGCCAAATAGCTTGCTCACAACTTTAATGCCAGTAGCTCACAAAGTACATTTTTTTGCTCACAAGACTCCACAGCTTAGAGGGAGCATTGGTCACAAGTTCTTTCAGAGCTGTTCTCTCAGAGCTCTCTCAGCCCCATCTGCCTCGCAGAGGGTGTCTGTTTTGGAGAGGGGAAGGGAAAGGAGATTGTAAGCCGCTCTGAGACTCCTTCAGGTAGTGAAGGGTGGGATATAAATCTAATCTCCTCCTCCTCCTCTTCTTCTTCTACTACTACTACTACTACTACTGCTACTACTTCTTCTTCTTCTTCTGTGCACAGTGGCACCCACTGACACTTTTCCTGGTGCTGTGTGTTTTTAGAAAGTGGGTGGAGCCAGGTGGGGCTTTCGGCCCAGCAAGACTTCTGATTGGCCAATAGAGATTTGACTGGCTGTGCAGATTTTTAAAAGCATTGCTTGGACAGCAGCTGCCACCACATAACAAGGGTCTTCACTGTGTAACTGAAAGTAAGCTGCAGCAGCCATTTTTGTGGCTGGCTCCACCTTATGCAGCAGCCGTTTTGTGGCAGGCATTTTGTGGCCGTGCCCACCACGCTTTATCAGGATTCCAAAGGTGGCTACTGGGGACCCCTACTCTAGCCCTTTTACCTGTGGACATGTAGGGGAAATGAAATAGGGTCCTCCCCAGTGGTCTCATGTTCTCAATTACTTCTGTCCCCATTTTCATCCCGCCCTTTCTCCAAGGAGCTCGAGGTGGGGCACGTCATTCTTCCAGCTCCATTTTATCCTCACAACAACCTTGTGAGCTAGATTAGGCTGAGAGAGTGTGAGAGGCCCAAGGTCACCCAGGGAGCTTAGGCAGGATGGACAAAAGGAAACACGATAAAGTAAATTTAAATACATAATTTTAATATGATCGGCTCTGTAGCACAGTCCTGTGTGTCCCCCACCCTTATACGATAGGTGCGTTTACTTTTTATGATGCGTGTCTTTGCTTTTCCTTCCCAGGACTATCTCGGGGCCTTCATTGTCCTCACGGCAGCTGTGGCCTCCATTGCCGATGGACCCACTTCCGGACTCATGGGTCTGGGACTTCTCTATGCTTTGACGGTCAGTACAGAAGCAAAGCCTAAGGCTCCCTTAGGCGTAAGAGTTGGGAAATTCCTGAAGATTTGGTAGTGGAGCCTGGGAACGGTGGGGTTTAAAGAGAAGAGACTGGATTTATGCCCCGCCCTTCACTGGGAGTCTCAGATTGGCTTACAATCTCCTTTCCCTTCACCTCCCCCCAACAGGCACCCTGTGAGGTAGGTGGGGCTGAGAGAGAGCTCTTTTGAGGACTGCTCTCGGGAGAACAGCTCTGAGCCGACCTTGGCTGGGAGGGCGGGGTATAAATATAACAATAAATATATAAATAAAATATAAATAAATAAACTTGTGACTGACCCAAGGTCACACCCGCCGCTGCATGTGGAGGAGTGGGGAATCAAACCCATGTCTCCCAGATCAGAGTCTGTGCTCTTAACCACTACACCAAACTGGCTCCACCGAACTTGGAAAGTAGGGGGAGACCTCACGGGGGGGGGGGGATAAGACCACACAGCCCACCCCCCGAAGCTGCCATTTTCTCCAGGGGAACCCATCTTTGTATTCTGAAGATCAGTTGTAAATTGGGGTCGCCAATTTCCAGGTTGGGAAGGAGATTTGGGGGTGGAGCCTGAGAAGGACGAGGTTTGGAAAGGGGAGGGACCTCAGCAGGGTATAATGCCACAGAGTCTCCCCCCCTCCAAGTAGCCATTTTCTCCAGGGGAACTGATCTCTGTATTTAGCCTGGAGCCCATTTGTAATTCTGGGAGGTCGTCAGGCCCCAACTGGAGGCTGGCACCCCTGATTAAGAAACCCCCTAAAACATTTCCCAAAGAACTGAATAGGATCGCCCGAGACAATTCCTTTCAGTAGGTCTTGTGCCACGCAGCATGGCATGGCAGGCTGTGCCCTTGGGGGAACCACGGTCCTCTTCCTGAATTTCTCAAGACGTGAAGAAACAATCCTTGCGAGTGATGGATTCGAGCCAGGACCGAGGACGTTCGGGACGACTTGGAGCGGCTTCGGAGTTGAAGGGCTAATTTAAAAAAAACACGTACGGTCACGACGATTCCCAGGCCCCCAATGCTCCCAACGAGAAAAAAAAAGCCAAGAGACTGTGGTGAGATTTCGGTGGACTGTGCGTGACGATTCAGAGCTCTTTAACCTTCTGAGACTCAACATGAGACCCGCTTTGAATCTCTGAAATATCACGTTGCTATTTTGCCACAAGATGCTTTGGAGGGGGCCCACGTCGGTTTAAAGGCAGACTGGAAAAGTGAAAGCGTGTGAATAGATAAATAAGAGCACTTGCCTTTACTCCCATCTGGCTACATGTTCCTCCCTCCCCGGTCTCCTTGCCCAGGGGAAGTGCCACATCGGGTGACCATGGGCTTTTCCACCCCAGGTTTTTGCTGCCAGGATTCAGCTTCTTCACTGAATCGGTTCCCCCCCCCCTTACTTGTTCACAGTAATATTTGCAGGTCATTGCTCTCCCGGTTTTTCTCCCAGTTTCTGGCACATTTTGATAGATGGTCTGAAAAAAAAGGGCAACACTTAAAACAAAAAACCAGCAACGGAAGAGCAACAACCAGGAAATGCTTAGGGGTACCAGGTCCCCTCTGGCCACCGTTGGGGGAGGGGGGCTGTGGGGTTGGCAGATCCAGGTTGGGAAACTCCTAACCCTAACCCTTGCCCCAGACTGAGAGTTCCTATCTATACCTTGTGGCTAATAGCCACTGATGGACCTCTGCTCCATATGCATATCGAATTCCCTCTTGAAGCTGTCCATGCTTGTAGCCGCCACCACCTCCTATGGCAGTGAATTCCATGTGTTCATCACTCTTTGGGTGAAGAAGGACTTCCTTTTATCCGTTCTAACCCGACCGCTCAGCAATTTCATGGAGTGCCCACGAGTTCTTGTCTTGTGAGAAAGGGAGAAAAGGACTTCCTTCTCTGCCTGCTCTTTCCCATGCATAATCTTATAGACCTCAATCATGTCATCCCCCTCAGTCGTCATTTCTCCAGTGCCACAGAGCCCGCCCTCCCAAGCATCCATTTTCTCCAGGGGAATTGATCTGCTCTAGTTAGACATCACCTAGAGTATTGTGTTCAGTATTTGTTGTTCAGTCGCACAGTTGAGCGACTCTTCGCGACCCCATGGACCAGCTCCCGCCAGGCCTTCCGGTCTTCCGCCGTTCTCTGAAGTTGGCTCAATTTCATGTTCGTTGCATCTATGACACTGTCTAGCCAT